GCCTTTGTGGTACACTGGAGTCTTAAAATATGCAGCAGGAAATTATTCTGTCTGCAGGTGATAAAATGAAGCTCTGAACTGTTGAACCCTGGCCCGAAATCATGCAGATGGGAAGACGCCGTGCTGGGAGCTGATCTCGGGCCAGGCTACAGAACCTGAAGGGCCCAGCAAGCCCCCTCACCCAGGAACCTGGCCCACAGCCACTGCCAGGCCCTGTGCTGTTTCTATGAGTGCTCATAGGAAAATGCCAGGGACTCAGGGTCAATGTGACTTGATTAAGAAATTCAAACTGCTATAGCCCTTTTGTTGGGGACTGTAACCTGGGAGTGAAACTGGCAGTGAAGTAAGGGAGGAAACAGCCCTTGTTGTAAGAATATTTCTAGGGAAGAAGGCTCCCTGAGGGGCTGGCATGGGAATCGCTGTGGTTGCGAGCCCCCTGTTGCCCTGTGGGGGTGTGGGGAGGGAAGGAGGGAGGCTGTTCAGACTGGCCATAGTCAATACAGTTTGTAAACAGCTGAGTTCTGTTCCCTCACAGCTCAGGCACATGCAGGACATGAAGATGCTTACCTAATAACCAACAGTGGGTAGCAAAGGCCAAGAGTGGGGTGGGGAGGAGAGATGGGACCACCTTCTGGAAGAATCTCTGCCCCAGGGGACCAGGAAGGTAATGAATGATTGGGGATGCACAAAGGGTTTTTGTGGCCTCATCAGGTAGTTCCTACTTTAAACTGATAGCCTGGAATATATGGGCAAATACGGTGGAGTGACTGCTCTTATTTTAGGTTCTACAAACTCTTAAACGGATAGATTTCTATCTCCATTATATAAGCACTGCTGGGTAACATTTATAGTCATGTGAGGATCAAAAGAGTGATTACTTATTAATACTATTACCATGCTTCTAACGAATTAACACTTCAGCAACAGTATAATGGCCACACTTCTTAACAACTGCCTCTGTATGTGTCTTGTAAGTCACAAATTATAAGTATAAAGAAAATATATTAAAAATAATAACAATTACAGTTGCAACAACTATGTTGTTTATAACGATGATAGTGTTAGCATCTCCCTGTCATATTAAACAATACCCAACACTGGATTCCTTAGGAAGCAACACCAATGAATTTTTGGACTCTTCAAGGTCTTCACCCCATGAAGACTTTCTACTCACATTGATCCACCACAGCCAGAATTGCTGTTCCTTGCATGATGGGCTGCCATGCTGCGATGTCCTGGGCTTTTTCTGGCACCATGCGTCTATAGTGGGTAGTCAAGTTTCCACGTACCCACTCTGATTTCCAATATATTTTTCTCCAGAGCCAACAGAGGGGCCACTGGAAAGAGGCCACATATAAGGTGGTGAACCCAAACTGAATACCTGTTGATGGAATGGACACACAACCTGGAGTGCTAGATGGATGGAAGGACAACATAAATTCCTTTACTCCTGAAAAGAGAAAGGCACAAATGGTGAACTAAATCCCAAAGAGAAAAGACATTCATGGTATTAATAATGTTCAACAGTGAAAGAATCAAAACAAAAGCAAATATAAAATCTCTGGGAAGAAGACGCATTACAACCTGTTTCTTTCACGTATATACCCTTAGTA